AGAGTACATACGTAATCTATAATGATCGAATGCATGATGGTCAACCTAGACGTAATTGAAAGGAGAAYCATATTTTTGAATTAAAAATGCTTCTTTTGTCACCAACCAAGAGAAGGTGGAAACGATTTGACACTAACTTTAAGTTTTTCATCTTTTTACAGAGTGCTCATCATTGTTTTCGACAGTTATTGTTGATGTATTATCGATCAATTTCTAATCGCACGCACTATCGAGTCTCTATTCGGATAAATATCAAGACCGTGGCACTAGGAAAAGTCGTTCGCGGCATATAGAGGCTTTTTTACAATTGCAAAATATAAAGAAACGCTGTTTTCAGCAATGAGCTCTCGAGAGAGACATTAATTTACTTTTATAATCTGCAGCACCTTATAAAGCGCCAATTGATTCACAATATGAAAAAAGAAAAGTCAAATAATGAACATCTTTAACCTACATGTTGATCTTACTGCAGCAAATGTCTGTATGTCTGTCAGCCGCGGCGTGAGGCCAAWTATAAACGTGAAAGCGCGCGGCCAGAATATGTATTTGCAAAATACCGTTTATGAAGACACTGTTACAGAATATTTTCATGTTACTGTAGGAAGCCAAGAGCACAGGGTACATTTATCAAGAAAGTAAGAAGTCTTAGCTTGTATACGAGAATTAAGRCGAGAAGAATTAGGACAATTTTAAACGAAATGACAACCTTATTTGATAGTAATTTATGCGCTTTTGCAGATCACACAATTATTTCTTGGCTTTTGATATTCTAGTTTAAAATGAATGTATCGAAAGATTTTTTCAATTTCGCAAAAGAATTTTTCTTTCTTAGGAGTCTATATTATATCTGGTGAAAACAGTATCGATTAGATTCACCCTTAAAATGCCTCTAGCCCAACCCTAACCCGACACTGCATTCGTCTTGAATCCAGGAAAGAACCTTAAAACGAGAAATTCAGACGCACATGATCAACTCGCGAGTTTAAAAAACAATTAGAGCTGTATAAAATCTGTGAGTAACATTAGTYTTTGACTTCCCAAACATACTAGCGCTGATCATCAAACTCAGTTAATGTCTACTTACCAAGATAGTAGGTAAAGAAGACTGTACGCCAGCTTACTGAACAACTAAAGTGAAGTAAGAGATGCCAAACATTTATTACTCGCATATCCTCTTCGTTTCCAAAATAAATACACTGTTTCTAAGAGAAAATTGATTAGAGAAATTCAAGCGATTATCCTTGTAACAATTGCCAGGAAATGTCCAAATTTCTTTTTAACTGTTTTAGTCCATTAAGGTAATGATATCATTTGTTGGTATTGGTGACGATATAATTGASAAGACTGATTATGTCCTTCCTTTACGGAAATCGAGAACAATACMCGTAATTTGCTACGGCCCGTACATTATGGAGACACGTTTTCACGGTTTTGCTTTCACGTGAGGCTAGCGATAAATGAATTTCAAAATATCTGWAAATAAGAAAAACACTTGAGAGAGTAAATTCACTATATGTATATACTGACGTGAACAGTCGGCCAACATCCTCTTTTTCTACTATTTTTATTCAATTGACTGGTGAAATCATTTGAAAATCGAACGAAAAGTTTTAATTCTTTTGATAAGCTCGAGCAAATATTTTAACATTGTTTATCAAATACATACCCAGTAACTATGGCAACCCCAAGGACAACAATCGTGACGTGCTTGAGACTCTAAAGATACTTTGTTTCTAAATAAACGTGAGCTGTAATAGTTTCAGCAAGTGTTTTCAGAACTAGTGTTCCATGCTCTCCGTTATTTAACAACTGACCAAGCTTATTACTTAGGAGATYCCAGAAGATCTTATAATTTTGTCGCGATGACAACATTGTTGCTGTTCAACGGGATTAGTCTCGTTGTTCGTCGTTTTTCAGGCGATTGGTTGAAACTCGGGCAAAATGTGGCGCAGCAAAAGGGAACTTTCGTATTTCACTCCTCACAAAACATTATAAGTTATCGTTATTAGTACTACATCCACTAGTCAGATGTTCTTTATTTTGAACAAGTCAGTTGGATGTCTATAAATATCAGCACTTCAGAACAATTCTTGTTTTAATCTAGTTGTTTCTAGCTTAATTTTTTTTAATATTTGACATTAGAGATATTTGGTATTACTAGATATTAATTCCAACTATTAACACTAATCTTTAAACGGTTCTTTTTTTAATTTTTCTTTCTTTTTTGAACTTTTTATTTCTTTCTAAAATGCAAAGAGACGTTTCATCTTAAAAATTCCCTGAGTATAATGYGAATGCAATCTGAATGCTAAATTTACGCTGCAATGATGAAAATATTAGGAAGAAATGATGTGAAAAGATTATACGCAGAATCAAATCAATCACGTCGCTGATAGAAATATATGTATTTCAAGGCAAAATTATACACTTAACGTTACCTGGACACGGCGTGTACCACGAATTGGTGCTCGTTCATTTAACATTTCATTGTTTTTAATGTCCTGTTCTTTTAGTTAATGACGTTTCGCAGGTATTGTTTACACCGATTATCCCATTGATATATATAGCTCTTTAATTTATCTTTTTTATGAAAAAATGTTTTTTAAGAATTTCGTCGTACACAGGCATATGATTATCAATTTTGCACAGAAGAATCAACAAGTATCAATAATAAATGTTTTTTTGTCCATAAAATAGTGTTCACCATTAAAAGCGACATGAATTACAAAATGTGATTTCATATCAATTAGTGCCCATTTCCCATGTTGCGTTCAGTGTTTGATGTTTACTCTTCATTTGCTTATATACATTTATCAATTTTAATGGTATTGTTTTCGATGGTCAACAATGGTGAAGGTTAACAATGTTTTACTTACATTTTAGAGTTAAATAAATTTTAATTAAAGTGAGATTGCCCCATTCCCTCTTTTTCTTTTATTAACTTGGACGTTTCCCCATTCTTTTTAGTCATACGTTTAGTAGACTATTCACCCCCCCCTCTTCCCTCTTCTAGATACTCAAAACCCACCACCTCCCCCACACACACCAAACACCCATTCTTTTTAGTCATACGTTCAGTAGACTATTCACCCCCCCTCTTCCCTCTTCTAGATACTCAAAATCCATCCCCTCCCCCCCACACCAAACAACAACACTCCTACTATTTTATAATTAGCCATTATTGAGTTTACAACCGACAACTTTTTTGAAACAGCGATCAAATAAACAGAAGTCAGCGGTTGATTATTTATTGAATATGAGTAACATCGTGTATTCTACACTCTCATCGCTTCAACCAGAGCCTTCACACCTTCAAATGTCTCATGGCCAGATGGGATGATATACCTCTCGGGCAGAAGGAAACCATAGCGACCCTTGTCACGTAGTTCCACGGAAAATGAGTACGTGACACCTAGCTCTTTGTAGACCCAGTCCTCAACTCCACCTGAAGCGGGGTCTAGAAACAAAACATATGTAGGATAATAGGTGGATCTTTCTTTATATAATTTTGATTTTTAGCAAAGTGTTTAATTTAGTTAAAGTTRTTGTGTTGTAAAAAAGTTAGATTTTAATCTAACTTTCACAAAAACTTAAAAGTTTTTTGTGACGAAAGGCCTTATGGGGCCCTCATCGTGTTGAGTGACCGAACCGTAACCACCCACTTGTAGCAGGCGTTCCTTGCGAGTCCTTGATATGTTTAAAGTTGAAAAGAGTAAATCTCTTGAGAAAAACAAATGAAGTAACAACAGTAAAGAAAAGGAGAAAAGAAAAAAAGAAAGAAGAAAAGAAAACAAGAAACAAGCGAAAAAGAAACAACAAAGAAGCGAAAAAAAGAGAATTCCAGAAGTAGGGCTCGAACTCAGAACTTTCACTTCAGCATAAGATGTACCCCCCCTGAATACATAAGAAATAATGAAAATAAAAAAACTAAAAAGATGGGACGATTCCCCMKAGACATTMTATGAAGCTGAGGCGKCGAATCGGYTTACGTTACGGTTAGAGATTTCGGCTCTTCCACGCTATCCCGAGTGAACATAAAACTTAGTCTTAACCAAAAGGCCAGGGAGTGAGGGGGTAGCCGCCCACTAGAGCATACCTTTAGCTACCCTCTTAGACCATCGTACTATGAAGACACTTATAGATAACTGATATCTAATGGGGGTAGTCTATTCGGTGAAGTTCTATGCTAATATATGACGTCACCAAAATCCTTAGGGATCAGCGAGCCAATCAGAGCTCAGCTCGGGAATTAGCAAAGATACAGGGTTTGCATAATCATTCTTCAGTGGTTTTATTATTTGATGGGGGGTAGGGATGGGTGCTGAGTGCTGGTTTGCRKCCAAATAACGATGAACTCGATGTACTGTGACGGCTTTTACCGAGCTGTTCAATTGTTGTTATTGTTTTCCAAATCACARGAAAATTAGGCGTACAGTTCTTATTTCAGACGGACATTATTAGTATTCAGATAAACACCACGGCACTCAAATCTCTTGAAATTCGTAACGTAAGTGGTTTACAAACCAGTCAGATATTTGCTTGAATTCAACGGAACATGTTATGAAAGACCTCTAGAACGTTCCATGCACATTTTCGTTCTTGATGATATAAAAGTTTGCACATTATTGAATATAAATAAAGTGAATGTTAAAAATTGAAGAGGATGAATGATAATCCGTATAAAATTGATAACGAAATCAAGGAAAACGGCTTAGCAAGCTTTCGGTTTTATTGCAAAACTATAATCAGGCGAATGAAAGTAATTTTAAAACATGGATGTAAAAATACAGTTTTGATAATAAAACCATTTTATCGAATAACGGTTCGAGAGTAAAAAAAAGATGTCTTTGATTGCAGCTAAATGTCCGAATCTTAAGATGGATATGTTTACTGTAGGCAGGGAAACAGGGCGCCCTGCATCAGGTTCCCAGGGGAGGAATGACCAACCATGATATAMGGTTCCTTGGCCCCTGGGAATCGCCGTCTGTTGTRCATTCATAAGCAACGTAATGGTTCACTGGAAAAAATTGCGCGCTTTAAAGGTTGTAAATTTGATGTAAAAAAATGTAAGTGTCCAAAATTCTGTAAATTTAATGGAAATGATTTGCATCAAATTTACAGAATTTTGGACACTTACATCATATTTACATCAAATTTACAACCTTTAAAGCGCTCGATTTTTTCCAGTGGTTGATCGTCACGTGATGCTCCCGGTTCCTTGCAGCATATACAGATAATTCGCAGTGAAACGTTGTAGTATATTCGAAGTTTACTAAATCTCTTAATGGCCTGAATCACATGCAGTCCTCGACTGCCTATTTTTTATAATGATATGACGTAAGAAGCATTGAATAAAAACCTTTGCATGTTTTTGACTTAAGAGCCAGATTGTTCTATAATTAAATAATGCTCGGTGTAATACTCAATGCTACTATGGTGCCATTTTCTATTGTATACAGCAGAGTTACTAATAACGCCTCTATGGAATTTGGCAGGCTTTTCACTAGAAGTGTCACGTGATCGACCAATGCCAGGGATTTATCTGTCCGCAATTTTGAAAAACAAAGGAAAAAGAAAAGAAAAGCGAGCTACATAGAAAGCGACGTTAAGAAAAGTCTGAAATATGTAATGCAACTGTAATAATAATTAATAATAATAATAATTTAATTTTATACAGCGCTTATACAAATCTGCTCTAAGCGCTTTCAAATTACAAACAATTACAATGACAGAGTCATGGTAGACTGCGAGCTTAAGATGGCGCCTCATGGCTGCCGCTCTTAGTCCGTCCCAAGATATCAAACTTAAAAATTACAACAATAAAAATTAAAATATAAATGACACTACAAAAAATACATACAAGGAATAAAGAAGCATGTATGATGGCCGGTGGCTCAGATGAGCTCATTCGCCCTTTGACAGGTCTTGTTTTTAGTCCTGCTGGGTGTACATGCCACCCTCCTCACCAGTTAGACTGGTGGGGGAGCCGGTTTAGACGCCGACAACCCGTCCATGAGGCAGGCTGTACTGGGTTACAATGTTACCAGTAGCAGACTCATCGTCTGACCTGACTTTAAAACACCCTAATCGATTCCAAACCACCTTTAGCGGTGTCAGACATCGAAAATCTTTAAAATGGCGGCAGGAACGGAGTCAACGTTTGAATCAAAGAAACAAGCGAACTTCTAACTAGTTTAGAACGCAAAAAAGGTCTTAGAACTAAACAACGAGTCAACTTAATGACCTAAAATGGCAAATAAACTGGAAAAAAACGAACTTAGCAATCACCTCTGATTTTGAAATTGCCAACACTATTCTAAAAGTCATTCATTGTAACTTAGCAACACCTTCCACGTAACGATTATTTTCAAGTCTCAAAGACTGTTAAGACTGAGTTCCACAGTCTGGATAGTTGAAAAAAATATGCKGTTTYAAACCAAATGTTTCATAATTAAAATGTTGTGCGAAATTGAAATTTTTAGCATGTAAGTCTTGCAAAAAAAGTTGCGACTTAAACGATCAATTTCAAACGATCAGCAGAAGGTCAGCAAACAGCAAAAAGGTGCCTTCSTCACCGATACACTATWTCCAAGCAGTATGTACTAAATATGCACTGTCTTTGAGAAATCAATGTCACCAAATGCATATCTTAATTTCCACAACTCACACTCAATCATATCACTGCTGAAAACATTTTTGATCATAGGAAATAACAAAACTCAATGACTAGATAAAATGTCCAAAACTCAGTTCACTGTAAAGTTTAGATAGTTTTTGTTAGGAACTTGTGAAAAGTGATGGGTGGATGGATGGATGGGATGGGATGGATGGGTAGATGGGTGTGTAAATTGATAATATAACTTACATAGCAGTTGTGCCGAGGAGCCATACGTATATCGCGTTCTATATCCAGCTCTTTCAATAGCCCTCGATGCAATTCCTGCCACCCGTTTCTACAACAATATTAATTACAAACAGCTCTTGAGTATGTGAACAGATAGTAGCTTAGAATTCGGATGAAGAAAAACACTGTATAGGACGTTTTGTCATCTAGTGTATTTATCTACACGATCCTCTCGCTACCTGATTTGAGTCCCTGGTCGGCATGGGCAATTATTAATATTTGTTCATTGCTTGATTAGTATATTTATTGGTTGATTGCCGAGTTTGTCTGATTTGTTGCACTGGTTGATTGGGTAAAATAAATAAATTCAAGTTTATACCTCCTTTTGCAGTTATAACTGAATTACAGGAGTAGGTCATATTTACAAGAACAAAATTATTAAATCTATCGGTTCTACCTTTTGTTTTACATGGTACGTAACAGCTGATCTTAGAGAATATTGAGTGTTAGAACTAATCTTTCTGCTAGTTAACAATGGGAATAGTGCGCCATTAGGTTTTATACTATTAATAAATTTTGTGGCATGCATGCTTACTATAATTGTATAGTTGGTTATGCCATACCTGTTCTCTATAGTGAGGCGGGGTGCTTCTCGTATATCCCCACGGTGTGAACCACATTTGACTGTAAGCATGCATGTCGATAAATCCTTTCAACTTTYCGCCAAGCCTGTTAAGGTAGTTGCGAACGTTTTGGCTTTCAATCTCAGAGAACGGTCTGTTTCCACGGTATGTACTGTCGCATGGTCGAGAGCTTGCTCCTACTCCTTTAGAAGTAAAGAAGAGARCACTGTTAAACTATATAAAACCAACTTTTTTTACATTTGTTTTTCACTGTACCTCCCCATTTGTAGCCCCAGTTCCTGTTTAGATCGGTACCAATGCACCCTCCTCCAACGGGTCTCCTGTTCTTTCGCCACATTCGGTACCGGCTAGATCTCTAAAGATCACAGATTACAATCAAACCATGGAATAATAAGTACTATAGATAAAGTAAGTACTGATGCTTTTCAACTTAAAGAAGGCTGTAACAAGAGGCCGGTGTGTACTAGTACTAATTTTTAATAATGGTAATGGTAGGGGGATAAGTAAAGGGGGGGGGGATGGAATAATTTTTTACACGTATGTGTGGGTTAGAGGTGGGGAAGGTACGTCATTAGTATTTCCGCTGTTTCAATCATTTTTTACCCCCCTTAAATTGCGCAGGTTTTAGAATCCCCAAMAAGTACACCTGGCCTCCCTTTTGTCCGTACTAAGCTATTTAGCGATCACAACATGCCTACCCCTTTCCATGTGTACGCGTAGCCGTCAACGTTCATAACAGGAAGAACAATGAAGTCCATTTTGTCCAACAATGCTGTAACACCGGTGTCTCTACCATACTTAGACACCATCTGAATCAAGATACACGCGGTCAATCTAGTATATAGGGGTCACTCTATGAAACTATTGAAGTTCTGTGTCTGCTAAAAATAAACTGAGTAAAATTATTTGCCACTTGCCTAAGATTTAAATGAAAAAACTCTTCCCAGATGCAATTTTAATATATTCTGTCAATGCTGTTCATGTTAYTTTGCGGACAATACTGGAATATTGGTAGTAGATGTGCAATTTTTGAAGGAATTTAAGTTCTAATGTGCTTATAATTAATTGTTTGATGATTTACCTGTTCGATGCTATACATGCAGGTAGCTGGTGATATCCATTCTCTTGCATGAATTCCACATTCCCAAAAGAACACAGGCTTATTGTATCGATATTTACCCTTGATCTGTCAATCAAARCATACAGAGAATTCAATGGATGTTGCATGAAACACCCTCGATCTGTCAATCAAGCATACAGAGAATTGAATGTATGTTGCATGGATCAAACATACAGAGAATTGAATGAATGTTGATTGCATCGCCCTTGATCATCGTTCCAAGGAGAGAGAGGGACAAAGAGGGAGAGAGAGAGAGAGAGAGAGAGAGAGAGAGAGAGAGAGAGAGAGAGAGAAAGAAATGAGTAAGTGGGAAATCTCTTTCCCGATCATTCCAAATAGACAATTTGTGTCGGTAGGTTCTGTTCTGACTTGCACGCTCACGCGAGTGACGCCTGTCTTCTATTTGTCTGTTTTTCCTCTTTGCATTTGAATTTAACCAATTCTTACTGCAATTTTTGATTATCTATACGGCAAACGGTCTTGCAAATTCTGTTGCACCTCCCGGCCATTCGTTTTACACTGTTATTTTCAACAAGTAATAAGCCCGGCAATGCAGTAAAAGTTACTCTACTAGTTATACCTGGCGAATAATTTTACCCCTGGGGGTTTTAATCAACTCGGAAAGAGAGTCACAATTACTCCAAAAGGGTTTCAAAATTGCTCTTAGAAAAAGAGCCAAAATTCCTCCCTAAGGTGCATTTTGATGGATTTAAATCTTCTCCAAAAAATGAGTTATCTGGTAATTTTTTTAACTCCTCTTTTCGAGTTAAAGTCCGTCGCTTGTCACAGCCAAATAAACAACTCAGCTTTTTCTTATCAATACATCCTTTCCATRTCTATAGACAAATTTACCTCAATTGCAGTCATATCTCTTCCTTCGTATGACCTACCGAGACTAAACACTCGAGTCATATCGGRACGTGAGCTGGCGATTTGTCGCAACTTGTTATGGATCTAATAAAAAGAATGATATACATTAGGGTGATTAGGCAAYCCCTTTTGAAGGTTCAAAAATCTAAGAAAGTAGTTATGATAAATCGAAAAGAGAAGACAAAGATACTGGATAAAAATATACAATGAATACAACGTGAAGAAGTTAAAGCAGCTTTCACCACTTTTCGCAGGCCAAGGTCCATCAATCATTTTTAGCCCTTWGTCCTGGTTTCGCTACTAAGGAAGTCTGGGCTTAATGACGGACAGACAGACAAAACACAAATGCATCACACCGCACCTCATTCAAGTTRTGATATCTGCTGTGGTAAGAAGAAGAGCGGCTTCGGGAACCAGTAGATTGTTGTTCTTGAATCGTCCTGTCCAGGTCACTGTCGAGGATTATAAACGGAATTTGATGGTCGCGCATAAGGCTTTCAAAAGTACCGTAGTCCATATCTTGGATCTGGATATCTACAGCCTGACCAATGCCATTTGGGTGCTTCCAGAACTCCACCTAAGAGTTTGAATACAGTAAGGGTATAAGAACAAGTAGGTTAAAAACACACAGGTCTGATTTTGGAAAATAAAGTACCATTTATATGAGAACACATTCAGACTGAAAAATGAAAGTTGTTTTTATATGGAAAATATTTATAAGTAATAGCATGGCTCTGAGGGAGATTAGGGATTAAATGTCCCCGAAGCCGAGGGCAGGTAAGTTGAAGTCCCGACGGCCGCAGGCCGGAGGGACTTTTACTTATCTTCCCGAGGCTGAGGGACATTTAATTCCTAATCTCCCGAGGAAGCCATGCTATTACTTTGTAATACCATGATTTCCGAGGACAAAATTGAAGTTGAACTTGAGCGAATTTGAATTCTTGTTTTTTTTGTATGCTCCAATGTTTTCAATCAGAAGCAATAAAAACATTGCAACAAACAATTCATGCATGAATTGGAATATGACATGAAAAGATTGGATACGCACTGTTCTAAGAGTATCACTCGCAGAACAACAGTACAAATTGATAATCCGACCATTGTGTTACTGATTTCCCACAACAAACTTTGTTTGAAATTGCTTTTCAGTTCTATTCAATGCTAAAGTTAACGAACCTTAACTTCAACCGCGAAAAGTTGTTTTTATATTTGCAAGTATAACTATGCCAAGAAGCTTATCAACTATTATCAAACATTGAAATTTGTCAAGTGCACATGCTCAGCGGTACGAAGTAGAGACTCGGAACCAGAACTACTCGGCCAATTTGTCCCAAAAATCATCCCACATTTCAGTGTGACTGAGACGATAACCAGACCGTTCATTGCAGAGGTAGAAAGAAGACAGCTTTAGGGACATTCAGTTGTCCCTGCTGGGACGCAAAGGTTTCCTTTGACTTCCGTTCCTCATGAATAACATGAGGGACGATAACTGGTAATCGTCCCTCATGTTATTATGCATGCTATTCATGAGGGAGGGATGTTCGCTTGTAAATCCCTCGAAAGACAAAAGAATCCGAGGTGATCATGGTATTACAAAGATTAATACTACTTTTCATTGCACACATTAATTTATCAAATTAATGTTAAAATAAAGTAGTTACATCGTTGTATTTATTAATTAAAATTGTATGCATAGTATATTGATTTCACATATTGGCAGCATGTATGTTCCTAGCTTATTTTAAGAAACTTTTTTTAAGAACACTCAGAGGCTAATTTTGCAGATTATAATCTTTTTATTTAAGAACCAAATCAGCCTGAAACGCCAAAAGAGGTTCTTTAGTATACGCGGGTTTTTACTGTATAGCGGAATTCGATTAGTCCTGGAGCGTTGTGGGGTAGGGTTGGAGCTATACCATAATGGACAGTGTTAAGATTGTGACGAGAAAAAACAAATGATTGCAATCATCAACATATTCACTTTGCTTTTACCTGGATATCCCGTCTGTCTGCGAGGTGATCAATGACTCTTTTCTGTATCTCATCATTTGGGATGACGCGAACAACTTTAGTACTAAGCAATGGGTATCATCAATTAAATTATCTCAGAGCAAAGAGAAAAGTGAATTACAAAAAAATAATTTTTTTCACCTGCAGAAATCTTTCCGATCTGATTTTATAAATCCGACTTGTAGTTCACGATAAGTGGCTTTGATCGTTTCCACTTATCATGAGTGTGAATACGCATTCCCACTTATGGTAACCTAYAATCACGACGTCATCGTCATTTGCACTTACTATAAGGGCAAAGCCACTTACTATAAGGGCAAAGCCACTTATAGTCAGTGCGAAAACAATGAAATATGTCATCGTAAGTGACAATTCGAACACGTGATATGACTATCTCTTATCATGAGTGCTTACAGGCTTGATTTTGTAAGATATCTACTGCTTTACTATATACATGCATATACGAACATTTCACGATCTGACGATTTAACTTACAATTTAACTTGTCTTGTTATCGAACTGATTCGTTATAGAATTTTCGCTCCAGTGTATACTAGTGTATCACAAAGAAGCTTTGCATAATTTCCAACTCATTTACGAATTATGATGAACAGCTACAGCCAAAAAACGAAATCGCAACGACAATGTTCAACGAAATCACATATTTTCAGACGTAAATAAATCAAAACTGAGATTTCATAAATATGTAGACTATTACACAGCCGCGCCGCATAAGTCCTCTGTAGCGCGACTACTTCGCTCATTGAGTTTCGATGGTGCATGGGTCATGGATAAATTGTAGTACTAACCTTAACTTTTCTTTTTAATTTGTTGATTATTTTATGTCTTCTGTTCATTTCCATCGCTTAGATACTACCAAAACAGGTGGAGTGAGAATTTGACTCGATAAAAATCACTCGCCTTACTTCGCATCTCTGAGCGCACATGCTCATATTCCCGAAATTTCTAAGATCAAGAATTTTAGCTTTAAAGTGCTACTTGCATGAAAATGGCCTTATTTCAAAACTTCAAGAAAAACAAATATATGACTCATTTATATCTATTAAAAACAATTGCGGGAAAATATTTGTCTTGGAATKATCCCACATCAGAGAAATTTTGATTCAAAAGATGGAAGAACAAAAGAATTGAGTAAATGACGTCATCTACTCCAACCTTTTTTGCCCAAATTATTAAGGATTTGCATCAATATTTTCTTGAAATCTGTTGCTTCATGATTATTACAYCCAWRTGGATAGGTCTATTTGATTTCCAAGCCTTTTCTAATGTTTCGCAATTTTCGTCCAAGTAGCCCTTTAACAGAAACGAATCAGGTGTATTTCAAGCCTGTCCTTTAGCCTCTAGCTATAATATATAGAACAAAGCCGAACGACACAATTCCTGTCTTTGAATGATTTCAGCACGTGCGCTCAGGAATGCGAAGTCAGACGAGTATYTTTTATCRAGTCAAATTCTCAMTCTACCTGTTTTGGTAGTAATAAGGAAAGACTTGTAACAGCCAATATGCATGTGTCTTGATCTAAATTAGCAGTAGTACTCGGACGTGCAATTCCCGGTATTATGTCATCATTATTTTGCGGCACTTTTACCAGTATGTATCTTGCATTTGTACGTAAATTGTTCGAAAATGTAGCAAAAGAAAATAGAAAACACAGCAGAAGTGATTCGCTATCTCAATACGGTGTTCAACATTCAAAACACGTTCAAGATACGAACATGACCACATGTCAATCAAACTCTAAAAGCATGCAAAAGCACAGTCAGTGAAAGATGGAGTGCAGAAAATGATTTTTGTAGTTTGTAGTTTTGATACGGACTACTTATCACAATTGTTCAAACTTGCTAAAGTTTAATAGTCATTCAAAGGGAAATAGTAAAGAAGAAGATTAATCTAAAGCAGCTTTTAGTCTGGCGTCTACACCTGAGA